TAAAATAGATAAGCGAACTTTTTGGGCTGTTTTATTAACATTTTCCTTCAGTTAATTTATGTTCATAAAAAATCAGCGTAAATAACTCATTCGATAACATATGTACGTACTCGCACGTGTGTTTAAAACCTGACCAAACGTAATTAACGTTACGCGAGCGTAGTATAAATAATTATTTTTAACCATTTGCTAGATTAAAATGTTCCTACATTTTAATTGTATATTAAAAACACAAAATGCATCTCCAATAATTAAAATATTATAGCATCAATAATAATTACTAAGGTAGAAATAAACTAAACCTGAATTTCAAATTGCTTGTCTCTATTCTATACTACTATATCTATTGCCGGAATAGCGGGTTCGAGTTTCGCTTGGCACAAAAATTGTTATGGTCTTAATGGTATTTGTATTCGGCCTGTGTATCTCACTCTCTACTACAAATGTGAAAGTTTGTATGGTCGTGCGTGCGTGTGCGTCGGCGTGTTTATGCGTGAGTGCGTTTGTTACTCCTTAAAGTAACATAGATGCTACTGTGAATAATAATAATTGCGAAAAGTGGCGTTGTCTGTCAGTACCTAATCTATACTAATATTGTAAAGAAGCAGAGTTTTTTGTTTGCTTGTTTGTTTCATTCCATACTAACCGTTAAAACGTACATAAGGACGAACCTGAGCGAAGCGAGGGTGAGTCGCTAGTAATTATTATTATAAATACAAAAGACAAAAGCAGCATCCGAGCGAAGCGATGGTAAGTCTCAAGTAATGTATATTTGTGTTATATTTGTTTGTGTTTCATATAATAATATTGATAAGTTATAATTTACATTAAAACTTATTTTTATTAAGTAAATTCTCATAAAACAAGCCCTTGGATGCTCTATAATTTTCCTGTCTTATAGTGATTATGTATAGTGTATGTCTAGTGTCTACTGTTTGTCTAGGCTTAGTAATTATGTAAGTTAGTTCTATATGAATACAGTCATTATAGAAAATTATATTAATTACTATTCAGCATATTTCGCGTGATTGGCGAATAAATTGATAAACAAACAAATATTTTAAAAGGGCAGTGTTACACATTGACACAGCACTTTGAAAACAATATAATCCTGAAAAGAATAAAGATATAATAAAGTATGTGCCTAAATGAATATATATATATAATATCTCTAATATTTTATGATGAGTATTTCTTTACTGAAAATAATATTTTTTCTCGAAATACTATTATTACGTTTGCAATAATATATTCAATATTATACACAATCAAAAAAATCGCAATTATCTCACATTACACGTAATACATTGATTAAGCATAGCGTTATAAACCAGAATTAGGATTTCACAACTTATGATACCTTTGGGATTGTGCGCATGGAGAAACCAATCTGGGAATAAAATATCACCTACCTCTGAAGAACTTGTGTATAATTTAATACGTTGGTATACTACACAAAGGGAAAAGCCTTAAATTGCACAAAATTTATCGCTCACATTATATATACATATATTGTACTTTGTAGAAGAGAATAATGCAATATGCCGTAATTTTATTTTATTTATTTTCATATAGTTACAACTTTTGAATAAACCGATACTAACCAATTATTGCCTACTATTCAAAATATTATAATAACAGTTTAGATTACGATAAATGAATAAGTGAGAGAGCAAAAAGCTTATTTATTGTTATCTTAACTTTTTATATACTCAGTGATTACGTTATTGATTACTAATCCCAGTTCATTGCCAATAGAAAACGTTTGTTTATTATTGGTATGTTTTTAACTGATTTGAAAAGTGTTTTCAGTTGGTTTGTAATCTCTATGTTATTTCTTTATATTTGTTATTTATGTGTATGGTTTGCGATATTATTGCCGATTGTGGATGGATTTTAATAATTCTTTTTTAAATTTAATTTATTGTAACTTAATGGTGATATCATTTAATACTTTCTTAGATTTACGCGAATATTTGACATTTTAAATAAAACTATCTTTTCGGATTTTTTCGCGGATTTATTTGAATTTTTGGATTTGGTAGAGACTCCCCATCATGATTGCTGTAAAGCATTCGAAACGTCGGGAACCAAAAATCCAAATAAATCCGCGAAAGAAACCGAAAAGATTATTTAAAGTGATATCATTTGTTTCAAGAAATGACATAAAGATATAGGATACCCATTTTAGTATTCTTTCGACTTTTATTACGGATTCACATTTATTAGTAGTAGCGTAGGTGTAGTTTTAATGTTTTTTCTTTCTTTTTGTTATTTATGGTTAGGATTACACAATCTCAGAAAAAGTTCCATTTTCCTTATACATATTTCTTCATAAGGATTTATTTTCTTCCTCATTATTATGAAATGTTATTTTAGTTTTATACGTTTATTATTACTACTTACAAGGCAGACAATTTTTAGCTGATAGATTCTTCATAGAATTACAAAAAAAGCACAATTAAATTAAACCTAAGTATCGTTTACTTAATTTAAAAAGTGCTTTTAAAAGACTTTCGATTTTAGTATTCGGTTTTTATAATCCTTTTTATTTTTATTTGCAATTTCGTAAGAAAACATATTGTTTCACAGTTATTAGTTCCATAATCCATTATATTATTGCCACTGCATAAAGAAAAGATTTCTTAGATATAAAATGAAATTTATTTATTCTATTATGATTAAATAAAAACGATTTTTTTTTTTAAAAAGTGTCTACAATTTATCATCATTAGGCAAGTAATGTTCTTGTTTAGCGCTATATTATAAACATTAATGATAATTACCCATTTTGATGAGTTACTTACAGTATCCATCACTGTCCACGGCAATTTGCCTGGTATTCTACAGCTATTACATATAATATATACAACCTGCTTCGTTCAAAGTCTTTGTTTATAGGCCGTTACCACTATTGCGGCGTTCATTTGCATATCTCTTGAAAACGCGCTACTTCCTTTAACGTTCCCGTATTTATTCTGAGAGGTTAAGCACATTTATCACTAACTGACCGCTCATGGCTTTAAGCTGTTTTAATTTTATGAAATAACTAGCTTATATAGGAGTCAATGAATTGTTTCATACAAATTTCTACCTGCTATATTTTATGAATCATTTTTTCCCCGAGGTATTTATGAATCTTGAATATATTTCGCTGAATTTCAAACTTCCACTTTTCTTATTAATTAATATTGCTATCTTTACGCATAATAAAATTCTAACTAATAGAGGAAGAGCCCGTGAACGCCAGACCTTCGTTATTTTATAAAGGCTGAAAGTTTGTCAGCGCATGCTCCCAACACAGATAAGAACGATGGACCATTATGAAGTTCAGGCTATGGTGGCTTTGGCATGTACACGGTACTAAAGGTGTGTAAAATACCGATCTAAATACGTCAAATAATAAAGTGTGATTTTTTGGTATTACCCTCAGAATATTATTAAAAATCACGTCATTCAATGCCAGACACTTAACATCGTGGCAAACCCTTGCCAGACATCCTTTTCATGAAATCATAATGCTACTTACGTTATAGTATAAAAGCTGATTTTTATATATAATACTTGGGTAATAATTTGATGATTTATAAGACTGCTAGCATAGCATTTACTTCTATTTATATATATATATATATATATATATATATATATATATATATATATATATAAATAGAATTAATATATATATATATATATATATATATATATATATATAAACTAAATGAACTTCACCAATATAAAACCCGTTAAAGATATGCTAAAATAATACAGATACAGACTTTTTTCCTTACGGATATACCCGGATACGGATACGGATCCAGCACACCACTACTTATGTTATGTATGTGTTAAGCCTAGAGTAAAGGAAAGCCTAGCGTAAATAATTACATCAGCTTATATAAAAGTCCAAGGATTCCATTTACTAACAGGTTACATTGAGGACAGTCGCTTTAGCCTTGTTAATGTAACAATAGACACATTTATCATAAAATACTTGTAAATATAAGGATGGAGATTACTTAAGTTCATGTATTCAAGTTAAGTTACGCAAATGAAATGAATGTAAGCTGTTCTTAATATAACTAAATGCCTATAAAAGCTTCTTTATATTAATTCAATCTATTATGTGGCTTGGCTTTTAGGGTTAGTACAATTTACTATTTTCTTTATTGATGTCGTGCACAATATATATAATGAGGGGATTAACCAGAATAAATCGAACACCTTCGAGTCTAATTCACGCACTAAGCGTCTCGTTCCAATAAAGCTTAAATATTACCTAATTTAATTTATTGGCTGCTACACTAATAATCGACAATACCCCATACCTCAAAAACTACTAATCGTATTCCTTTCTAAATCTATTCATATAATAAAATTGTAATTAAACCAAATCTGTCCATGAAATATTTTTTGGAAAATCTTATTGAAATAAACATTATTATCGATACAGAGGCTGAAACTATAGTTTTTTGAATTTTTGTCTATCTGTCTGTTACCGCATCACAGAAAAACCACTGGAAGGATTTTGATGAAATTTGGTGCCCGCGGCTTCGCCCGCGTTCAGATGACCAAAAACCAAATTCATAGGTTTTACATATTAGTATACTCTTACATTGCAGTTTTTGTATTTTTTCTCAGAAATGAGATATTTTCCCGCGCTAAAAAGTATCCTATATGTTGACCCGGATAACCAGCTATTATCATATGAAATTTCATCGTAATCCCTCCAGTGGATTTTCCGTGATGCGGTAACAGACAGACAGACAAAAATTCTAAAAACTATAAATTCGGCCTCTGTATTGATAATAATAACGTTTATTTCAATAAGATTTTCCAAAAAATATTTAATGTACAAATTCGGCTTAGTTACAATTTTATTATATGTATAGATATGTAACTTTCCGACTTATAAAATTATTAAACTTCTCCTGTATCTAAAAATATTTTTCTAAGCTTATAAGTGATTTTTGTTGCAGAACATAATGACATTTGTCTACCTGTCTATGTGCGTAAACAACAGATCCCAGAAGTTTCCAGGTGCCACCTCGTCGGTCCATCCGCACCATGCGTAAGATTTGGAAGAAGCGCAAGCCCCGTAATGCCGATGCCGCAAACACTTGTCCTGACGATCCCATTCCAAGCACCACCATCGAGGCCAAGATTGTTGTTACGTCTACATATATAGTAAAAGTTAAAGTGAAATATTTTAAATAAAACTATCTTTTCGGATTTTGATTTTTGGTTCCCGACTTTATTAATGCCAGCAATCATGGTCACGGGAGAGACTCCCGTGATAGAGATATAGAGATGATTGCTGTAAAGCATTCGAAACGTCGGGAACCAAAAATCAAAATAAATTCGCGAAAAGATCCGAAAAGATAGTTTTATTTAAAATGTCAAGTATTCGCGTAAATCTAAGAAAGTATTAAAGTGAAATACATTAAATCTATTATCTACTAAATAATATTTTGAAATCGTAACGTTAAAAATCTCGCATTCATATCTATGGAATTTTCTACACTTTATTGTACTCAAGTTTTAATTAAGTAAATATGTACATAGTAAGAATCGGCATTGACATTCAGTGGGGTAATGCGGCTAGCATTCTTGCCAATATTCCACGCGGACATTTCATGTACAGGAATAAGTATACATTATACAAGTATATTGGTAATTTTCATTATTGTAAATAAATTATAGTTAATTTATTATAGATTTTGAGTGTTCTATCCAGTGGCGTAGGCGAAGCAGACCTTTAATGGGACAATATATATTTTTTATAAATAGATTAAGCCTATAAGGATTGTCATCTGTGATATTAGTAAGTAGTAAGTACTTAGTATATTTCGTCCACCGTAATATGTTATATAATTTATTTATTAGTAACAATTCATTGCTGTGCATAACAAGTTTTCTTACAGCCTTTCTGTAGAACAGATGCCCCGTATAATTGATACTTTTTTACAGCTGACACGGCGGTATAAGCTACTCCACATATATTATGAAAGTATATGGAAAGTTCTTTCTATAATAATAGAATTATTAACAGTTCAATGGCCTCGACATAGTAATATTTACGTAATATTTGAATCCCAAGAGGGAGAATCGTGTGCCAATGTTTGTTGCTTAAGCTACGGTCTCTAGCCGTACAGCTCCCTAGAGAGTCGAAAGGCAAAGGCATAGCACGAAACTCGTTTACGTGGGGAGAACTCCGGAAATGTTAAGGTCACAATAAATTTTATCAAGATTTCTGAAGGACACAATTCTTAGTTGCCGTTTAGTCGGCGCAAGTTATATTGTGGCATTATAAGTTTAATAATAATAAAAATATATATAGTTCTCACCTATAATACAAAAAGGTCGCCTCAAAAATTTGAGGCGACCCATAGATCCTTGGTATCGAGATCTGCATCCTGACGACCACAGCCTGTTGAAAAAAGTATTTTGAATATATTATAAATAAAAATAAAAAAATAAACTGTCAAACTCTACATTATATGTCAGTTGAAACTATATTATATTAGTCGTATTCGCTTTTGATCTAATATATGTAGATTGCTTAATAGTGGATATTTCTGAAGAAGTATATTTTCTTACTACGAACCTCCGTAAAATAATTTACGATACTCCCATTAGTCCGTCAAATACTTCGTAAATATCGTACGTAAATATTTAATAAACGTAAATACATAGGTGTTTATTAATAATTATAATTAATAGTGTTAATTATTATTGATTACTAGCGGCTCACCCTCGCTTCGCTCGGGTTCGTCGCTAGGTACGTTTTAAATATATATAAATAGTTATTACCCAGCGTTAGCCATATACACACACATTATACATACACATTTTAATATGGTATTTAAGTATTCTTAAATAAGTATTCTTAAATTTTATGATTTTCCCGCGCATTTTTTTAATTTTTTTCTTTCATAAGAACCTTCTCCTGACAATAACAAACACAACAAAAATTATATTACAACGCTTCATTCTTCAGATATAATAACAGAGTAGTACCCCTAACCTACAAGGCAGCGTTCGCTATTTTCAGAGATATTCATTTTGAAGGTATTTGTAAAATGAAACTGTGCGGTGACTTATTTTAACATTTGACAGTTTCATTTCCCACCTTTACGTCTTCCTGTCTGCGAATATTCATATTTTAGTTCATTCCTTTTTCTTGCGAGGCAGCGTTAAGACGGCTTATAAGTGTCTATAGTCGTCATAATGCCGAAACGTACGGCTGAAGAAAAGATTGAGAAATACCAGAGAAAAATTAGGAAGTTAAATAAACGTGTTAGAAGAATAGTGACGTCGTCAGAATCGTCGGACGAAAGTAAAGGTAAGAAATAATTTTAAAAATTAACAAAGTGATTGTCACTTTGAGCCTGGGGGTAGGTTTATCCTACACGAAGGCTATATCTTTTAGCACATTAAGTCATACCTGGGGGTTGGGCATTGTCTAACACGAAGGTAGAAATGACTAATTTGATTATTAATCCTTGGTAAAAAGTTGAAGCAATATTGCTATTGTTTTTTTTAACGTTTTATATTATTTTTTTTATACCTTATGGTAATATCACATGATATTAAAAGTACGTATTAACACGTATTATGCCTGGGGATTGGCTAAGTCCAATACAAAGGCTCACGATATCTGTGCTAAAAATAAGAATTGACATATTTGTTTATTCTTACAGATGAACATCCTCCGGTAGTGGAGTCAGTGGTATCGGTTCCGGAAGATTTACCGGAAATAGCGAATGAGGAAGCGATGGAGCTACCTACCAACGACATACAAGTATCAAATTTTCCTGAATTAGAACCAGAATTGCTTCAAGCACTAGGAGAGGACAATATAGAAGAACCCGAATATGGCGAAAGTAATTCATGATGATTTGGCAAAGCGTTGGTTGCCTATAATTAAAAAAAGGTTTGTCTAAAGATATATTAAGCAAAAAAATTGAACAAGGAATACCTTGTCCCAGAAAATTTTAAGCTTCTCAGGCCCACCAACTTTAAATACTGAGATAATTACAGCTTTAGCAGAGACGGTGAAATCCCGGGATAAGAAATTAAAAACCAATCAAACAGCAGCTAGCTATGGGCATAACAGCTGCAAATAAAGCTTTACACTTGTTGCTGTCAAACGGTGACAAAAGCAGAGAGGCAGTAAAACACCTCAGTAACTGCTGTCGAATTTTATTAGACCTTCATGCACTTGAAACAAAATGGCGTAGAATACTGGTTACGATGTCACTAGACAAATCGTTTCAACAAATTGTTCAAGACTCGGAAAGAGATGATACATTATTTGGAAATAAAATCTATCTTGAGAAAATCAGAAATTCAAAATGTTCTGAAAAAAACTAGGTTCACAATTTAAGAAAACTCACCACCTAAATCTTTTCCTACTCAAAACACACACCCCGACCAGTAACAACCGGTTCAGGGAAAACTGCTTCAGACCTCGTCCCTCGACGAGCCGGGGAGAGGGGGACGAGGTGGCCAGAAGAGACACAGCTCCACCTCCACAGCGGCAACCACCATCGTCAACGGCGAGGTCTTCGTACCAGAGCACGGCAGGAGTCGTGCCCCAACGCGGGCGATAATCCCAGGTACATGCAGGCCGAGTCAAAACTTTTTATAATTGTTGGTGTAATATTACAAAAAATCAATTAATCTTGAATTGGATTAGACATGGTTACAAAATACCTTTCGATAAAAAAGTAACACAATTATATGTTCCTAAGCTTTCAGTGCTAAATGATAAAGAATTTTCTTTTATGAATAATTCTATATTGAAATTAATAAATTTAGGAGCAATTTCACAATGCTCATTTAAAACTGGTCAATTTATATCTAAAACTTTTTTAGCTCCAAAACCTAATGGGAGATAAAAGATTTATCCTTAACCTTAAACCTCTTAATAAATTTATTTCAAAAAGTCATTTTAAAATGGAAGACCATAGAACGGCGTTAAAATTAATTTTAAAAAACAATTATTTGGCCACAATTGACCTCAAAGAAGCATACCTGTTAATACCTATACATAGCTCACAAAAGAAATATTTACGTTTTCAATTTCGACATGATAATAAAAATATAGTAACATATGAGTTCAACGCCATGCCGTATGGACTGTGCTCAGCCCCTCTTGTTTTCACTAAAATAATGAAAACAGTTTATTACTCGACTAAGGTCCCCCAAGGTTTTAAATCGGTGTTATATTTGGATGATATTTTGTGTGTAGGCGAAAGCTATTTAAATTGTCAAAATAATGTCAATGAAACAATAAAATTGTTATCTTTGCCTAGGTTTTATCATTAATTATGATAAAAGTTTCACTAAGACCTAAGCAAGTTTGTAAATTCTTAGGTTTTCATATATAATACTATTAATATGTCATTATCATTACCTACAGACAAACGCGATAATATTTATAAGTTAGTTAATAGATTTTATAAACTACCTACTTGTACTATATACGTGATTTTGCTAAACTAATAGGAGTTTTAATAGCTGCTTGTCCAGCCGTAAAATACGGATGGATGTACACAAAACTTTTAGAAAGACAAAAATATCTTTTTCTTTTACAAATATAAAAATTACGATTCAAGAGTTAAATTACCTAAAATAATTCAAAAAGATTTAAAATGGTGGATTGATAATATTTATATTACATACAACAATATTCAGAGTAATCAAAATTATATTTTAGAAATTTTTACCGATGCGTCAAGATCCGGTTGGGGCGCATATTGTAATAATATGCGTGCAAATGGCGGATGGACAAATAAAGAAAAAGACAAAAACATATAATTACCCTTGAATTATTAGCAGCATTTTTAGCATTAAAATGTTTTGCAAAATCACATAATAATTTGTAGTATTCTTTTTACGTATTGACAATACCACGGCTCTTAGCTATATCAATCGTATGGGGAGTATACAACATCCGCATTTGAATGATTTAGCAAGAAATATTTGGCAATGGGTGCGAGGGCGCGTAATATATGGTTACATGCGTCTTACATTAATACTCGCGATAATAAAGAAGCTGATTTCGAATCTAGAAAAGCAAAATCCCGAATACAGAATGGGAATTATCAGATAAAGCCTTTCAGAAAATTATTAAAAATTTAGGGAAGCCGGAAATTGATTTATTCGCCTCTCGCACCAACGCCTAAATGTAACATTTTCATGTCATGGAAAACAGGATCCAGACGCCATAGCGGTAGATGCATTCACAGTAAACTGGAAAAAATATTTCTTTTACGCTTTCCCACCGTTTTCAATGATAATGAAATGTTTACAAAAAAATTTTAGATGATAAGGCAAACTGGTATATTTGTTTGTTTTCCTTACTGGCCATCACACAACCATGGTTCCCTCTATTACAAAGCATGATAGTGTCTGAAAGTTCTATATTTTAAAAAAAGGATGATAAACTTTTGATGTCTTGTTATAGCGGGATTCACCCATTACACCAGCAGCTTACCCTGGCTGCAGCGAGGCTCTCAGGCTAACGTTCCTTCGGCAAGGTATTCCTCCAGAAATCCTTTGATTTAATGTTATCCTCATTAGCTGACAATACAAAAAAGCAATATTACGTTTGTTATAAACTCTGGTGGGAATTTTGTTATTGTATTAATATATGTCCTTTAGACAATTCCGGTTAGTAAGTTTTTATCCTTTTTTAACGTGTCAATTTAATAAAGGTGCCTCGTATGGTACAATTAATAGTCACCGATCCGCGCTGTCATTATTATTAGGTAGCAGTATCGGAACAAATGAATACATAAAACGATTTTTTAAAAGGAGTATTTAGACAAAAACCTATTAAAACCTAAATATTCTGATACATGGGACCCGCAAATAGTATTGCAATGGTTATCAAAGTTAGGCGCGAACACAGAATTATCAATGGAATTACTTAACAAAAAAACTTGTTACTCTACTGTGCTCTTTTGCACGGCACAAAGAGTACAAACATTGTCATTAATAAAAATTGAATAACATTAAATTTTTATGCAGATGGAATTAAAATAATTATCACCGATCATATTAAAACTTCTGCAATAAATAGACAACAACCACTTCTTTGGTTACCGTATTTTAAAAGCAATCTATCTATTTGCCCAGCTAGTGCTATTAAAGATTATATTTCCCGTACAAAAAGCTTAAGGAAAACTATTAATGCTGATAATTTAATTTTAACTAGTAAAAAAACCCATATAAAACCTGCTTCATCCCAGAGCATTAAGTCGTTGGATTAAAACAGGCACTTTCTGAAAAGTGGCATTGATATTTCTGTGTTCGGGGCCCATAGTACGCGACATGCGTCCACCTCATCAGCTAAAAGCTGCAGGTGTGGGTATAGAGGTTGAATTAGAAAAAAACAGCTGGCTGGACCTCTAATTCTATTGTTTTTGCAAAGTTTTATCAATTACCTATAATAAAAATAAATAATAATTCAAATTTTGCACAATCTGTATGCTTAAAAGATTAGAAATTATGTTTTTTTTTGTTTCTTTATATATTATGAATATGTACAACATAGAAATAGCATTAAACGATTGTAACCCTAAGAGGACGAAATATTACAATGTATATTTGGAACTTAATTTTGAAATAAATGATTTATTCTTGCAAAACTTTTTTATCTCTAAATAACTACTCTGTTATTATATCTGAAGAATGAAGCGTTGTAATATAATATATGATCAAACGAACTTACCTTAAGTGAAGTTCGATCATTATTATATGAAACGCTTCATTCGAAGATATAATCACCCTCCCTCCCACATACCTACTTTATCTATTAAATAAAAGTTTTGCATAATCTCTGAAATAAATGAACTAAAATATGAATATTCGCAGACAGGAAGACGTAAAGGTGGGAAATGAAACTGTCAAATGTTAAAATAAGTCACCGCACAGTTTCATTTTACAAATACCTTCAAAATGAATATCTCTGAAAATAGCGAACGCTGCCTTGTAGGTTAGGGGTACTACTCTGTTATTATATCTTCGAATGAAGCGTTTCATATAATAATGATCGAACTTCACTTAAGGTAAGTTCGTTTGATCATATATAATAATAGTTAAATCGGTCCAGCCGTTCACGCGTGATGGCGTGACCAAGGGAAATAGGGATTCATTTATATATGTCTATAGATAATTAATCACAATATAGATGTAATATTAGTTAAAACTATTATTTTTTCTTTTAGATATGACAAAGTTCACTATCATAAATATCGGACATTAACTTTGAACAATTTTTCTTGCTTTCCCATAATTGTACTTATAAAAAAATACTTTTACTGAATAATATATTTCAAAGGACGTAGGTATGTCACGATAAAGATTGTATTGAAGAAATAGGAATGAATATTTAAATATCGCATTGTAAGTAAAAAATTATGTATAATATAAAAAGGTAATAAGTATAATATATTCTTAATAGTGCTATTTTAAATATTAATAGAGTTTAGCTTTGAAATATAAACTTGTGTAGTAGATACTAGTAAAGTGTGTGATAAATTACCTGACGCGCGAAAGCTCTCAACGTTTATCTGCATTTACGTTTCTGCTTTAATAGCCAGTGGTTACTCGTACAGCGTATATCATTAATCATTATTAAAAAGATTTGCGTTGCCTAATTTAGAAAGTGGATCCACTTTGATATTTAATATTGCTGAACTATACTAATTACTTATCCTTAAATTGTTGTTGACGATACGTTTGGCTCAGTTTGTAGTGATCCTAGTTGCTGTGCCAGCGGTCGCGGGTTTGAGTCCCGCTGTGGGCATTCATTTGTGTGATGAGCACGAATGTTTGCACTCTAGTCATGGGGGTTTATATCTATAATATGTATGTATTTAAAGTTATATATGTGTAGTTATCAACTATCTGGTCATATCCATAACACAAGCCTCGTAGCTTACCATGGAACTAGATGGCGCTGTGTGTTAATGTCCCCACATATTTATTTATTATTATTATTGTTTATATCTTTATGCTGATTATTAGTAGAATTATATTCTTTCCTTTAGGAAATCGAATTCGTGACTTTTCACTTACGTCGCACGTACAAACTATTTTGCTTCTCATGAGTATGTTAGTGAAATAATAGTAAATATTATAATTATTTAAGTAAGTAATTACCTTAAAAAAAATTCAATGGCGAACCAAACGACGACGACAGTCTCCATGTAGAATAGTACAATTCCAGCTTTCGCTTCGTATTCTTCGATTGTCGAAAATACCGATAGCGACAAACACATGAACACCATCAGGAACCTATTGTGATAAATTTTAAGTACGTTAGTTTACTACTAATGTAATAACTACGCGTATAGGTAATATTTTAGTCATTGCTCTTGTAAAAACAAAATTATTACCTATACATACATCTATACATATACATCTATACATATACTAAAACTGTAGAGGTCGAATGTCTGTACATAGAAAAAAATATGCTAAAAACCGAGTCAAGGGGATTTAAGAAGAGAAATCGTACAAATCCACATTTTTTCAAATTTTTTGTTTCTCTGTCTGTTTGTCTGTTTGTACGGGCTAATCTCCGAAACTGTTGGACTGATTTGATTTTAATGAAATTTTGCATGGTGGTACCTTATATCTCTGGTCAACATTTTAGATACTTTTCATCCCGGAAAATTAAAGAGTTCCCGTGGGATAGTTAAATAACTATAGTAACTTATACAGCTTAGTACACAAAAACGACTGATTGGATTTTAATGAAACCATACATCAGAATAACAAATAGACTACTTTTATCCCGGAAACATGTACGGTTTCCGTGGGATAGATTTGTTCTTGTTTGTCTAGAGGCGACCCCGAGCGAAGTGAGGGTGAGCCGCTAGTTATACAATATATGTATAGGTACATATATATACTAATAAGTAAGCATCTAGTTATTTTATTAACACTTGTAAATATGACTAAATTAAGTATACACATTAGTATAACATAAATTTAAAAGTTCAATGAAAATGCTTTGGCTAATATATTAATGACGAAAAACCTAAAAAAAAAAGTACACCGACTTCGAAAATATCTGATTAGGTATCTATAGTAAATGGAAACTACCAATTAGTTATTTTTTATTTTCAAATTTAAAAAGGACCAAATTAGAAGTATACAGTATACACTCACGGACAAAATAAAAATTATCTAAATCGGTTAATAAATACCGGAGTTCTGAGGTAACAAACATAAAAATACAGCCCAATTGAGAACCTGCTCCTTTTTGAAGAAGTCGGTTAAAAATAAAAATTGGGGAATCAGATCTGTGTAATGAGGATTGAGCTAACTAAAACGGTTGGAGCTTAATTCTTATCTTTTTTATTATTTTCGAACACGTACAAATATACCTGGCAATAAAATCGTTTTCTATTATTACTATCCTACCTAGCTTTATTATAGCCAGTAACGTGATTTATGAATAATAAATGCATAGTAAAAGTGTTCAGCTCTAGAAATGAACTGAATATATGTATATTTAAAAGTATAAAAAACTTATAAGCACAAAGTGGGTTAATGATCAGACTCACACAATCATATGATATAGGACGGCCTTTGCACCCCTTGGCCGTTCAAGGAAATTGTAGAACTTTGATTGAAGGCGTCGGTATCGCGCGTCGCGTCGAGTGGCGCGGTAGCTGAGCGGCTTGCCCAGCAGCGACATCCGCGGCGTCGCCAGCCGGTCGCCGCCACGCTTACACTCACTGCAACCAACCATGATATTTAACTTACCTTTACACAACATGACACCTTCCTTACAGTATATTTACATTCGACACAGTCCCGTGTTACGCAATCATTAGTGAGTAGATCAAAAGCATTTCTAGGTCATTTTGCTTTGTGTTCGACATATTTAGTTCGTCGTGTAACATATTCATTTTAAAGAAACGACACTTGAAATCTTATATAATGGAGTACGGAAACTTCTACCTACCAGGGGTGCTTCTAACTACCAGGCGTCAATTGCTCTTGTACAACGATGTTTTTCTTTTATTAGTCAGCCGTTTTATTTCAATTTTTAAGTATCTACCTACTAGAGGTAGAATAGTGCGGTAGGCATAATTAAAAGCTCGTCTTAATCGTTCGCAAAGTTCTAGAACTATTATAGGTATATTACTATATATCTTGTATATGTTGTATTATTTCATTTAACTCTAAATAAGATTTTGAATTATTTTTTATTTCTTCAATTATGATAATATTGAATGCTTGACAAAAATGGACAACCCATTAAAATAAACAAACCGTGGCGCGTTGCGTGGTACAAATATAACAATTTGTGAGTTGTTACGTGCCTTGTTTGTCATTTGTGGACTATTTTCATATTCAACCGTAAAAAAACATGCAAGGTTTAATGTTTATTTTTTGTGGTTATTTATATTGCTTTGTTAAAGGGGTTATAAAAAGTATTTTTAATTTAACTCCCATGCGTGTTATATTATGTTTAATGTCATTACTTGATGTATATACATATTGTTTAATTAATTAAAAAATATACCTATAAGTAGATATAGATTAAAGTAAGACTAGTATTAATAGTTGAACGTATAAAATAATTTGGAATAGATATTTTATTTGATAGGAAAACCTAATTAGGAATATAAGTAACTTTACACCTTCACGCTAAGCAATATATACATAGATTACATATTACTCTTATTGAATCATCTACCAGCCAGTGAAAGTCGCGTAAAAATCGGTAAAGCCTTTTTCAGTTTTACGAGAAACCCTCTGTTTCTCAACATTAAAGAAACCCCTTCACTTTTCCTCTAAATTTTAGAGATTGTTTCGTTAAAATCCATTCAGTTTTTGCAAGCATCATCGGGTACAAATGATATTAATAGTTTTTTATTAAAGTTTGGTATTACGCAAAAAATCGACAGGCTTTATGGAGGGGGATCTATTAAGAACTCACAGTCAGAGGTTATTCTTCTGATCTAGACTAGCGTTACCGGGAGGAGTAAAGTTTAGAGGTGTTACAGCGAGTGTGGGATACAACATGTACATAGAGTTCTTTTCATATCTTTAGAATATTCATTTAAAAAAATTGTTCTCTACGCAATTATAAAAGGTGCCAAAAAATTATAAATCTCAATCCCGAGAATAAAATGTGTTATTTTTTATCAAAATAAGTTTTTAATGTATATTGACCTTCTTAAAAATAAAAGTAATAAGTGTCACTCGTAGAAAAAGTCTAACTGCGTTTCAATTAAAAGTACCTAGCTTACGGACTACGATACTTTTGACCAGTTTTTTGTATTTTCCAGTATCTCATGAAAATCGATTGTTTCCGAAAGCCTTACTGGAATTTAGTGGGCTCTGATAGCAAAACAGACCCTTCGATTTTAAAATATCAATGTGAATACTCATAATTAGAAACAAAAAAACAAAATATGTAAATCAAATCTATCTTTGTTACTTCCTTAATTAATAGGTGCTGAATAGTATCGAATTGTTTTGGTTAATCTGTGCAAACTGGGTGCATATAAATTTAATTCGACATTAACGCGACTATAAAATCAACTCATAAACGGTGTTGTTACTACTTGCTGTTGGCATGCATTAGAACTTATGACGTTAGATGTAAGAAGCAGTTCATATAAAAATGAAATAAAATTTATCTATTTGAGCACAATGCTTCCTTCTTATTAATTTTTTATTTTCTGACCGACTTTAAAACGGTGAGTATCTACTCTATTTAGCTATTTTTGTGGGTATGATAGGTACGCGGTATAATCGTCAATTGTTAATCGATTTTTAAAATTCTGTTTTTTTAATGCATAGATTATAACTGTAGTATGGTCCTACATAAACTTCAATAAAAATCCACCTCCATGGTTAGAATAAATTACATTTTAATTTTAAATGAAGTCGAACTGGGTGTGAGTACTTTTTTTGTTGAAAATTTATTGAAATAATGACCAGTTGTAAAGTAAACGTGAACGCACAGGTTATTTGTACATTTAACTCCAAAAATCCCTAATTCAACACCTCCGTGGTTAGTTTCCGGGAAATCAATTGTTAACTGACATGCCGGCATGTTAGCGACCGTTGAAGCGTTAAAAAAATTACTTGATACGAGGGTGAAACACCGCCAACTTCTCAACTCCGGGATGTTACTGAGGTTCACTATACAGTCTCAATAACGATAAAGACACAATAACTAAACTTAGCCCGACCCGGGACTCGAACCCAGTACCCGCAATTATATTATTATTATAGGTTAATAATTTCTTAACATTTAATAATAACTGAAGTATTTCATTCTGATTTTTGTGTCCTTTTTATCATTAATCATAAGAAATTGTAACAAGGTCAAAGTTATATTTAGTATTAAATATTTAAACAAATGTTTTTGGGCTTGTTTGGGATATAATTAAGGCCAAACCTATACTTTATAGATTTATTTAATGATTATTATCTGTCTTTTTAATGATGCTGATCACTTGAGAATGGCTGGACTGGTTCTAATGAGACTTTTTTTATTCTGGGTTCAAATCATAATACTCTTAAATTATGAGTATAATTAGACTCATAAATATTATAAATGCCAGTTTGGATAGATGTTTGTTACTCAATCAAGCCAAAACGGCGGAACAGATCTGGATGAAATTTGACATAGAGATAGACTACAGTCTGGAATAGCATATGGGTTACTTTTTATCCTGGAAAAATGTGTGATTACCGTGGGATAGTTTTTTTTTGTTTATCACTGGGACGAACCCGAGTGAAGGGAGATCAAGTCGCTAGTTTTAAAATAAATAAAAAAAATATTTCAGAATAATATTAGCTAAACGGTTTTTTTTTTCAGGAAAATGGCAGCGTAACCGATTACGTCGCTCGTGAATGGACGGAGCGGTTACGTGGTCTATAATTTACTTACCCGCTTCCCCACACTAACCCATTATGGTAAAAGATATTTTTTTTATAACATCAAGAGCAAAAAAGAATCAAATTGAGCTAGAGAAGCTTTTGTCATAATTATTTACAAATGGTAATTGATAATTAATTATTATAATAGAACACTACAGATTATATAGATATGTATATAAAAATGATAATACAAGACTAAATATGTATATTCGTAAGGGGCAAAATAGTAGTGTCATTTTTCTATAATTATTATGAAAGGTGAGGATTTAAAAACCATAGATAATTAGGTATCTATATTATGAATAATAATATTTTTACATTATATTACTTTAATTTACTTTACATCATTATTTTCTTAATGAGTTCAATGAATTATAAATAGGTACTAAAATGCTTATTATAATTTCAAAGAGGTTTGTGGGCTGGCGGACCTTATTGTATTACAGGTTTATTATGTTACCTAGTTAGGATGCCAGCAAAACTTTGTCTTAAATCGAATTTCCATTATTTAACTATAATTTTAGATGTAAATAGAAGAATTTTAAACCACAGATTTTATACAAGTATTATATTTAAAATGTATCTCTGTCGTATTTTGTTAAAAATATATAATTTAAAAATAAGTATACAAAGACGAGTAGGTAATATACAAACCTGAGCACTAATACTGAAACATGCAAATAATAAATACAATTTTTAATGTATGTGACATCTAATAAAACAGTAAACAACTACTAAAATTATAATAGGCAGCTAACGTTTCCTAACTTATTTTACTCAGTTTATCTGTGTAAAAAGAGTTATAATGAGTTACTTATAGTTAAGTGCCAATGCATTAAATGAATTTAAATCGACTTTGTTATAATCTGTGGGTACTGCCCAGGTGCACTTGCATATAACCTATAAAACTTTAAAAATTTCAGTCAGATGGCTGGGCGCCATCGAGACGCCCGTAAAAGTTTGAATAAAACTGTTATTGAATATCTCTTTCATAATTATACTGACTTTTATGTAAATTGAAAAGTTTACTTAGGTTACATACTTTGCACGTATCTAAGAATAAATAACTTTGAAGATAAATTGATTTCTACTTAGGAACGTTTTATATTTTCTCTAATGCGGCCCACTTATATTAGCAAAAAATAAAATATATTAGCAAAAAATAAATTAGCGCCGCGTTTTTTATTTGAAAGCTGTTGAACTGCTACCTTAACGTAAAATGTTTTATATTATTTATAGCCTATAGATATACAATATACATGCATTTGCAAAAGCGTGACGCTGAGCTATATCTTGAAATAACTAAGAAGGCAACGAAAATAATTTGAATTGGAACATTATTATTTAGTGCTGGGTTCAATTAAATATTCTTTTTTGTTGATTTTATATATTTAAAAAAAAAACTTTTAATAACTTTTTAATAATTATTCAAATCTTGAATCAAGCGACGAAGAATTGCCAATAATAATGAGTTACCTGAGATTTGGCAATTGGTGTTCTGTTAAGTATAAATAGCTGTATAATTTTGAATTTCGTTACTAAATAAGAATTTTGTTGGAGTAATCTTGAAATCTTCCCTTGTTTCTATATTAAAACCGCTTATGTTATCCCTATTTCAACTTTTTAATCCACGTGTGATGTGTTATGTTAGTCTAAACAGCTTACTTGCGATCTCAATAATGTAAACAAGATGTAAGATTAAGCAACATCAAAGTTTCTTGATTTTATCTTAAATTATTCAGGCTTCTATGAATATATATACCTAATATTTCTAAGTTAATTTTCCTTGACATGTTTAGCTAAAGTTAGTGTACATGTAAGAGTTTTACAGACATTTTTAGCTAT